CATCACCCCTCAAGAGCCCACTGACCGGCCCAGCTCCCGCCAGGTGGGCCTTGGCATTGGAGGGCCACGGGGTCAACTCTGCAATTCCTCTGGGCAACATTTCCAGGGACTTGTTAGGTTCCCCCATGGGTCTCGGAGGAGGGGTGGTGAGAGCAGCTCCTCATTGTCCTGGTGTGACCCTGGATGTTCATTTTCTAGTGTCTCTGTGGCCGAAGTCCTGTTACGTCGAGCGATGGAAAACCAACTGGAAACCGCAGCCCCAGGAAAGGCACCGAGAAAAAATACAGGATGAGTGGGGTTTGTGAGAGGACATGTTTTCTGTGGCTTAGCAAGGACATGCCTGCGAAGGGGGAAGTAACCTTCTGTTTCCAGGGGAAGCCAGAAGGCCTGAGAAACTTAAACAGGGGAAGGAGAACTATAAATATTTCAAATGTAACCTCAATGGATTAGAACAGTTTTTTCCAAAGAAAGAGCTTCCAAGCTTATAGAATCCGTTCTGCTTTGTTTCTGCCCCCGTGGCTCCCACCCCTGTTTTTGTGGGTGCAGTTTTTTTTTTTTTTTTGAGACGGAGTCTTGCTCTGTCACCCAGCTGGAGTGCAATGGCGGCGATCTCGGCTCACCTGCAAGCTCCGCCTCCCGGGTTTATGCCATTCTCCTGCCTCAGCCTCCCGAGTAGCTGGGACTATAAGGCGCCGCCACGACGCCCCGGCTAGTTTTTTGTATTTTTATAGAGAGACGGTGTTTTCACCGGGTTAGCCCAGGATGGTCCGATCTTCCTTGACTCGGTGATCGGCCGTCTCGGCCTTCCGCAAAGTGGCTGGGTTACAGGGCTTTGGAGCCACTTCGCCCAGCCATGGGTGCAGTTTTCATACAGAACATTTGGACACAGGCTTCAAAACTCTTTGAAGACGGCTTTCTCCTTTGGGTCTGTCAGGTCCCGGCAGTCACGTCCCAGGAAGGGCCGGGGTCGGCTCCTAGCTCCCCATCCTTCTTCAAGGGCACGAAGGGTGGGGTGGAGGCTGTGAGTCACGTGTGATCTTGGTGGGGGCTGTGGCCGGTCTGCAGCACCCCTTCAATGGCTGCTTCAAGGGCTTTTCATGATGCTGTAGCTCATGAGTTAGTGTTTCCTAGAGGCTGTTTCCAGGTGTCTTACGTGTCACAGACTGGCCCACCAGGGCTGGAGTGAGATCATGAGCACCAGATTGTTGGTGAAGGGAGTTGACAGAGACATCGAATGTCAGTGAACAGGAGTGACCTTGGGTCTCAGTAAATACTGTGGTCAACTGAATCCAGAACCCAGCCTCACCAGCAGGGCCCCCTTCCTCCGGAAGGCTGCTTAGCCGTGTACCTGTGTTCTGGCTGCTGTGGGCCGAGCTGGTTTTCTGGCTGGAGTGGAGTGGTGTGATCTCAGCTCACGCAAGCTCCCTGCCCGGGTTCACACGCCATTCTCCTGCCTAGGCCTCCAAGTAGCTGGGTGACTACAGGCGCCCGCCGCCACGCCTGGCTAATTTTTTACATTTTAGTAGAGACGGGTTTCAC